GTCTATTGTAGAATAATTTTTTTGACATTCTACACATGATTGAATGCTTGGGTCGAAATATGGAGCTTCTTGTTGTTGCGAAATTACAGTTGGAATAAGTGTAAAGAAAACTATTATCGTAATGATGTAAATTTCAAACAAAAAGTTTAAAGAATAATTGAAATTTCTCATAGTTAATAATTGATAAACGAGAGAAAAAAATTAAGGAGGTTTTTTACGTGACGTGCGTGACATATTCATAGTAAAGATCATTAAGATTAGTCGCAAATCTGCTGATCTAAATTTAAAAATAAATCTTCCTCCGAAATGATATCAAAAGCAACAATTAATTCCTTTAGTCATCTCTCTATTCTTATTTTATATAAGCAAAATTCACCCTCATATTCTTATTTAAAAAATCTTTTAAAAATAGCATTAAAAAATAGAAACTTATTTCAATTACGTAAAATCACCTCAAGATGGTATTTTTGCTTTTCGAAACTTGTCGTATTGGTTTTTATCTCGTATACAACGAAGGTTATGCAGCAAAAAATATTCTTCTATTTGTTTGGGGTGAAAGAGAAACTGGTATGAGATGTTGGACTGATGGTAAAGTTGGTCTGCAAGTAGAATCAATGGAAGTTTCTTAACCTATAAAGAATTAGAATCATCTAGTTCTCGTGATAATAATAATAACTCTCGCGATTTATCAAGCAAAGACATTGATTCAAGTGAACCTTATCTTATCATTCTTCCTCGACTGTCAAAAAAGTTATATCAGCTGAATAATGTAGATACAAGCGTAATGGTTTGGTAAAACAATCTTTCAGTATCACTGGCACCACACATCAAAAATTATATTTAATATGTTACTACACGTTATTCAAGAAAAATTACCAATTCACGACAAAAAATTAAAAAGTATTGTCATACTAATTAATACCAAAAGGAATGTATCCGGAAATTTCTCATCATTATTATTATTTCGGTAACAACAACTTCAACTAAATAATAATTTATCATCATCTTCTTTTCTTTCGAACTTCCTTACGAATCAAATGTCACAAAACTCTGGCTCTTCAAATAGGGTACGCATTGCTTTACTATTACCGACAACACATGGAGCGCCATTTTAGCATTTTATTAGTTGTTTGATTATGTGGAGGTTAAATGTAACCCTGAGTTGTCGGTAAAATGAATGCCTGTCTCCCCTTCAAATGATAGAAGCCACCAGCAATTGCGCATTCATAAAAGGTATGCTGTTCAATTCATTTATGCGATTGTTTCTATGAATAGCAAGGCAAGTCAAATATATAAAACAGTCATAATTTTTATCAGAAGAATCTAGGTCACCATTTATCAGTAAAATAACATTGAAGAAGTTCTTTGTATATATCTTTATCAAAACCTTTTTATATGGATTTATTTTTATAATAAATATATTTTTTAAGAAAGAAAAAAATTATATTTTCTTGTCAAAATTTATCCATATCAAATTTCATTTCTTTAAAGAGAGATGGAATAAATAAAAAAAAATGTTATTAAATAAATTCATAGTTTTTTGCATATTTTATTTTATTGAATACAATTAGTATTTCAGATATCAATTTATTCAAGGATATTTGAATATATATAATTTATTTCATAATTATTTTTTGACTCGCCTGCAAAATCTTTTAATAATAAAGTAATTTCTTCTATGCCTAATGATACCATTAAATTTAAACCATATGTGGTAAACAATAAGAGTGCTCTTATCAATAAATCAACGGTATTCATCATTGAGAATAAGTACCAGCGAGGTTAATAGCAATGATTTGAATCAAATAAATGCTTC